GTCACTGAAGTTTTTATTTTTTTTAGTTATGGTTTTGTTTGTTGTATTTGTTTGTTTGTGGGGTTTTGTTTTTGTTTTTGTTTTGTGAGAGCAAGTTGAAATCTTGTTGGGCCCTGGAAGCTATGTTGGGCCCTTCACTAGCAGGGAACAAGTTGCGTTTTAGAAAGAAATCTTGCAGGTATCTTCTTGCTTTGGCTAGTTGTTTTAATGTTTTAAGTAGTTCAAGTATTTTTGGTTAGACTTTCTAATAGTATTTTAGCTTAAAATTCAACTTTCTCCTTTGAGGGAAGCTCAGTTTTTTAATATTTTAAAGAAAAATCTCAGACCTTAGTGTTGAAGAAATGAGCCACAAAGAAGTCAGAAGCATCATTGAGTGGTGCTCCTTATGGCTGTGCTGTTGAGCAGACTGTGTGTGCCCTAAGGTGCAGACCTCATTAGGAGGGATTAATGCTAAGCCCTCCCAAGTTTACACCCATCATTACCTCCACATTCTCCTTTCTCAGCAAATCTGATGGCCATCAACTGAGCATGTTCTGTGCACTTCTAATATTGCAGTATTGTTGAACACTACTTGAAGTTGCCCAGCTGAACAAATATTTCTGATGTCAAATAATCTTCATGATTTCTTTTCCATAAAAGACATGACTTAATCATGTTTCTTTCTTGCTTAACTCAACATGGGCAAGTCTTATCAGACACAGCTTTGTTTCTGTATGCTAGCAATTTTATCCTGACTTGCTGTTTAATTAATGTTTGTTTAATAAGAAGACTTTTGCTCATCTGCTTCCCTGTGCTGCTAGAGACATGGCTTTGTAGTACATGATGGAGCCTTAGTTACTTTCTGTTGACCAGGTTCAGCTAGGTGTTGTCTATTACTGGCTTTAAGGTTCATCTCTACCTTACTGTATATTTTGGGGTTTCAACTTGACCACTGACTTCATACTAATTTTTTAACCCTTAATTTCTCATCGCTTTATTTTTCTCTCATGGAAATTCAAAAAATCCTGTGTTGATTGTCTTTTGTAAGTTGCTTCATCCTTTTGGGAAGTTATTTTTTAGTCATGCAGGATTTTCTAGGTCTAAAAGACCTTGGTGTGTGAATTACATCAATGGTTTCCTACCTTTAGGAAATAAGACTCTCAATAACACTAGTTAGTTTTTTTAAATTAAACAACCCATTTGTATATCCAAAAAATTATGGTGTGCACATGTATAAGATTCACTGTTTATTCACTTTACCAAAAGTTCGTGAAAGCATGTATGGATTTGTATATACCTTGCAATAACTCTATGGCCTCTCCATGATCCAGTCCACTGATCAAGGACCAATGGTGGGAAGTCCATGGCACCTGGTTGCTATGCCTTCTTTCCACATCAGGAGGACTCTCTCACAGACTCTTTTCCCACTGAGACTGGATTAAGCCTCACAATCCTTCTTATTACATAGTGCTCCAGATGATCACAACCAATTGTTTGTAGCTGGAATGCAAGAAGAACATTTTTTGACTCCCTGGGCTAGATGATCTTTCAAGAGCCTATCCATTTTGACCTCCATAAATCTCTATTTGGTTCTGCTTACCTCATTCACGTGTAAGTCCTCCCAATACGTGAAGAGAACACGTGTAGGGGATACATTGTTTATCTGAGATGCACTTCTCCAGATCACTCTTGTGTCCCTCTTCTGTTCTCCTCCCCTGGCCCCTCACAGCTTGGTTCTCTCTGGGGGCGTGATTTCTGAGTCTCTGAGAGTAGGGTTCAGAACTGAGTATAGTGTTCTACACGGATCTGAACTGTGCTCATTGCAGTGTAGGACCTTTCTTCTCCTTGACATTTGTTGGCATTTGTTCAGTGAAGAAAGATTACACGATCATATTCCCTGGACATGAGACTTTCATTGATTACAATTGAACTAGCTTTTAGGTATTAAGAATATTATGTATTATTGACTTACATGTTAAAAGATATGTGTGGGGAGGCTTCTGAGAATGAGGTGCCTGACATAATTGTGTTGTTTGGCGCTAACAGGAAGGACTGGTCAGGGTGATTAGTAGTGAGGAGATGGGCTCAGACTTTCTGTGGGGCAAGGCCTCTTCTGGAAGGCCAGTCCTGTGGGCAGAAGGCATGCTGAGACTGGATGGCAGCAAGTTCTCCTTGGTCATGGAAGCTGAGGTGGGTGACCTCTAAGCCAGGTGACACATCTTTTTCTGGGTGCCCCCTGAGGAATTGAGGTTATTGGGTTATTCTCATTGTAAGCTCCTAAGAAATTGACCATTGACCATCTTATAGTAATGAGTGTTGTCCATTTTAACTTTTTAAATTATAAATGTTTTATGTTCATTGTAGAAAACAGGAACCAAAAAAAAAAAAAAATATATATATATATATATATATATATATATATATATATATATATGCAATGCTACATTCCAGAGGTGTAACCGTCATTTCCAGCTGAATATTTTTGTTGTTCTATGTATAGAGTGAGCTAGTTGACTGTCCTTAGATTTTTCCTCCAAAATGATTTTCTAGTTGTGGTAGCACCACTTACTGAATCAGCTTTTTCTTGAGCTGAGCCTTTGTGCTCTATGGGACTCTGACAAGTTCGCCGAAAGTGTTGCCTTTCTCGTTTGAGGCTTAGCCAGGCATTGGGAATTCTGCCCGGCTCGGTGAGGAAGGCCTGCTGGTCCTGCCTTCTTTTGGGCCACATCTGCCATACCGTGGGTGGTATTGGCCATCCATTTACAGCCAAGCAGCAATTGTGAATGTAGAGAAGAGCAATCTCTTCCTTTTTTCATATGTTTTTCCCTCCAAAAATCATTTGTGGACTCAAATACTTTGTATTTTTGTAGGGCTAGCTCAGCTGGTTAGTGTGTGTAGCAAGTGGTCCCAGTCTTGTGCATTTTAACCTGAGCGCGTTACATTTTATGTCATGAATATCCTAGCATGGCTATCAATGAGATTTACTAGGTTGTTCAGTTTTTAGCTTTGTTTTCAGATGCTTAGCAATGTACTTGTTTCTTGAACTAAATGCATTTAAGAGTAAGGGCTGGATGTGGTGGTTAATGAACATTCACATTTAAAACCAGTAACATTCCTTCTCCTTGCCTCTAGTTCTTATTCATCTTAATATTATTGTTCTCCCTTCTATATGTTGTAATTTATTCACCCACAGTATGGCTTGCGCTTGTCAACAAATAACTGTGAATGTTTGTTATTTTTATTTCATTTCTACCCACAGAAAATGCTTTTTGTTTGTAATCTCTTGGATGAAACATTTCTCCGTTATTCTGCCTTGCTTTGGTGACAATTGAGTTAGGTAAGGCCATTGTAACACAATTCCCAGTTTCATAGTTTGTTTAGGGCTGGGTTCTGAAGAAGTTAAAAGTGGATCTGCATGGCCTTCCAGTAATAGGTCAGAATGTCTGAGTGTCTTTGAAAGCCCATCACGGCTGTCATAGCTGCCCTTGCACCCCCTGGGAAGTGAAAGTGTTATGCAGAGGCTTGCCCTCCATATGCAGGTGACATATCTTATGGTCACTAGCCACGAAATTGAGATTAAGAAAATGCAAAGACAAAGATGTCAGATTCAAGGTGACAGAAACAGTTGTGAAGTTTTAAGCTTCTTTCCAAAAATGAGAGTCTGTGAGCTATCTAACTGTGGCTTTAGCATCTGTGTGTGCTGCATACACAGCCCATGAGAAGGGAGGGAAGGGGGTAAGAATGATTGTGTGCTGACAAATTCTGTATTTAGCTCTAGCTGGCACTTGTGGAATTTCATTCATGTGGAAGAATGGGATGTCCTGGAGGGGGTGCCTGCTCTCTGAATCTTCCAACTAGCTACTCCTGAGAGAGTTGGAATGGTTTAACTCCCATCTAATGGTACTCTGCCTGCTTCAGCCTCCTTCCCCAAATCTTTGTGCTTCATCTGTATCCTCATGTCCTGGTCAGTCAAGGAGCAGAAAAACTCTTAGTTGGTATTTCAGTTTGAACTGCTTTTTTCAGAAGCCATGGTTAAAGGAATGACTTAAATGCCCCTCCTCCCATTATAAGTGATACAGATTCATGGGATAAAATTGGAAAGTAGGGTACGAAAAAGTTTTGGTATACCACCTTTCATATTCCTATGCAGAAATACACACAAACTGAATTAGCAGATTAGAGTGTGAATTTTTAGGCCATTTGCTGTTATACAAAACTTTGGAGAAATTTTGTGCTTCTTGATACTTCCCCCACTAATAAATGAGACTGCTCACCCGTATTCTCTCCAGCATAATTTATGGTACAATAATTTAAAATCTTAGCCAGTTTTATCTGGAAAAACTGGCATTATTATTTCATTTGACATATTTACCTAACTTTGACCGACAGTGAAACTTTTTAAGTGCATGTTGACCATTTGTTTTTGGCTGTTCCTGGCCCTTTTCTCTAACTGTGTATGTCTGGTAATACTTCTCACACTTATAGGGTGAATAGTAGTTATAATGTGTCAAGTTTAAGGATTTATCATCCAGTTTTTTTCTTTTTTCCATGTGTGTACGCTTACAATTTTTTAAAAACAGTATTGATCCCATTGCACATAATTTAATTTCCTGCTTTTGTTTTTCTTTTTTAAACTTGAGAGCCTTTTCTCATGTCAAACATTGGGAGTAATTCTCATTTTCTTATTGGTTTATAACAACTTAAGCCACATTAGTAGAGCTTTTCTAACAGCTTTATTGAGGTATGATTGACATGTAATAATTACACATCTTTAACGTATACAGTTTGATAAGATTTTTTAAAAATCAGTTTAGCATTTTATTTATTTTTTCATTTATTTTTTTGAGGAAGATTAGCCCTGAGCTAACATCTGCTCCCAATTCTGCTCGTTTTTACTGAGGAAGATTGGCCCTGAGCTAACATGCGTGCCCATCTTCCTCTACTTTATATGTGGGACGCCTGCCACAGCATGGCTTGATAAGTGGTGGGTAGGTCCATGCCTGGGATCTGAATCAGTGAACCCTGGGCCGCTGAAGCAGAGTGCACAAACTTAACCACTGCGCAACTGGGCCAGCCCCACAATTTGATAAGTTTTGACATAAGTATACACCTGTGAAACCATCACCACAATGAAAAATGAACATAACCGTACTGCCTCTTTTGGTTCTGGTAACAATTCCAGTGTTTGTGTGTGTAGGGCTCCCACACAGCACCGAATAATTCTCCAGACACCAGCAGACTGAATGGTTATAGGCTGGGGTTACAGTGACCCCCCTCCTTAAGTTTCAGATGCGAGTCTCAAGTCCAGGTTTTTACCTGTACTTCTGACTAACAGACTATAAATCACAGGTTCACATAACCCTCTCCCCGGGTTCGATAAATTTGCTAGAACAGCTCACAAAACTAAGGAAAACACTTAACTCACGTTTACCAGATTGTTAAAAGATATGGTAAAGGGTACAAATGAACATCCAGATGGAAGAGATGAACAGGGCAAGGTATGAGGGAAGAGGCATGGGGTTCCCAAGCTCTCTCCGGGCGCGCCACTCTCCCAGCGCCTCCATGTGTTCACCAACCTGGAAGCTCCCCAAACCCGGTCCTTTTGGGTTTTTATGGAGGCTTCATTACATGGGTATGATTGGTTAAATCATTGGCCATTGGTGACTAACTTAATCTCTAGCTCCTCTTTCTTCTCCCTTCTCCCCACCCTAGAGGTCTGGGAGCGGGACTTGGAAGTTCCAACCCTCTAATCACATGGTTGGCAACCAGCTCCCACCCTTAGGTGAGTCCAAAGGTCATCTTGTTAACATAACAAATGGCACCTTTATGGTTCTCATAACTTAGGAAATTGAAATTCCAGTGGTTTTGGGAGCCATGAGCCAGGAACTGTGGACAAAGACAAAATATATATTACAAAACACAATATCACACTGCCCAAAGGTTTCCTTATGTCCTTTTATAGTCCCACCCCTCTCCTCAAGCAACTCTGCTTTGTTTCACTATAAATTAGTTTGCATTTTCTAGAGTTTTATATAAGGAGTCATATAAAATATGTACTCTCTTGGTCAGGCTTCTTTCAGTCTGCATAACTACTTTAAGATCTACCCATGTTTTGTACATCAGTAGCTCACTCCTTTTTATAGCTGACTAGTATTCCATTGTGTTGATATAGCACAATTTGTTATCTAGTCGTCTGTTGATGGACATTTGAATTGTTTCTGGTTTTTGAGTACTACAAAGAAAGGTGATATGAGCATTTATGTGTAGGTTTCTGTATGGGTGTATGCTTTTGTGGGGGTCCAGTTGGACCTCCAGAGTGGGTTTGAAGATTATTTTAAAGATTTTATTTTTCCTTTTTCTCCCCACAGCCCCCTGGTACATAGTTGTGTATTTTTAGTTGTGGGTCCTTCTAGTTGTGGCATGTGGGACACCGCCTCAGCACGGTTTGATGAGCGGTGCCATGTCCGTGCCCAGGATCTGAACTGGCGAAACCCTGGGCCGCCGAAGCAGAGCGCGTGAACTTAACCACTCGGCCACGGGGCTGGTCCCCGAAGATTATCTTAAACTAAAGACATTTGAGATTCAACAGATGCAGAAAGAAGCTTGTTCAGAGCTTCCCTTATCTGACTAAAGGCAGACGTTTCTGGGAGTGAGACTGCTGTAAATACTCTCTCCAGGGGAGTTTTAAAAACAAACTTGTTAAAGGCCTAAAAAAAGATGGAGAAGACTGTTTGCTCCTTCACAAACAAGCATCACAAACTTTATCTCCCATTTGCTCTTTCTATGAAATCTTTCTCTCCTCTTTGTCTCCCCTATTAAGTAAGACATATAAATCCTCATCTTTAGCTATTAGAGAGCCACTTCCTTTGTGTGCTCCCATATGCATATATGAATAAACTTTATTTTTTCTCCTGTTAATCTGTCGTCAGTTAAATTTCACAGGCCCCTTGATCACTGAACCTGTTGGTAGAGGAAAAAGTTTTTCCTCCCAACACTTAGATTTCTCTTGGAATTCTAGGGGTGGAATAACTGCGTCATAAGGTAGGTATATGTTTGTTCTAAGAAACTGCCAAACTATTTTCCAAAGTAGTTTTACCATTTATGTTCCCACCAGCGTGGTATGAGAAGGCCGGTCCTGAAGTCTGCCATTCAGTGGTTTTAATACGTTCACTGAATCGTGGAATATCACACTGTGTAATTTTAGAATATTTTCATCACTCCAGAAAGCAACCCTGTACCATTAACACTCACGTCCCATTTTTCCCCTCTCCCCAGCCCCTGGCAACCACTGATCCACCTTCTGTCTCTATGGACTTGCCTATTCTGGACATTTTATATAAATGGAATCATACGAAATGTGGCCTTTGTGACTTGCTTCTTTCATTTAGTTTGTTTTCAAGATTCTTCCGTGTTACAACGTGTATCAGTGCTTCCTCCTCCTCTTTTTTTTTTAAGGTAACTTTTTAGAGTAGCGTAGAATTATAAAAAAAATTTGCAAAAACAGTACAGAGTTTCCATATACCTCACAGCCAGTCTCCCCTGTTATTAACATCTTACATTAGTATGGTACATTTATCACAGTTAATGAACCAACATTGTTGGGTCCTGGTTTATCATGAACTAAAGTCCATACTGTATTCAGATTTCTTACCTGATGTCCTTTATCTGTTCCTGGATCCCATCCAGGACACCACGTTACATTTACTTGTCATGCCTCCTTAGGCTCCTCTTGGCTGTTCTAGTTTCTTAGGCTCTCCTCATTTTTGATGACCTTGACAATTTTGAGGAATATTGATCAGATATTTTGTAGAATGTCCCTTAGTTGGGACTTGTCTGAAGCTTTTCTTACGATTAGACTGGATTTATGGGTTCTGGGGAGAAAGACCTCAGAGAGATAATGCCATTCCTATTACATCATATCAAAAGAGTACATACCAGCAACATGACTTAGCACTGTTGCTGTTAACCTTGATCACCTGGGTGAAATGGTGTGTTCAGTTGCTTCACTGTAAGCCATTCCCCCTCCCAACCCCGCTTCCATACTGAACTCACTGGAAGAAAGTCACTGTGTCCAGCCCAAACTTAGGGAGTGGGGAGTTATGCTCTGCCTCCTTGAGGTCGGGGTGTCTGCATAAATTATTTGGAATTCTCCTCCATGGACATTTGTCTCTCCTCCCCCATTTTTTTCAATCTTTGGACTCATGGATTTTTATTTTGTATGTTGAGTTATAATCCAATATTAATTTACTCATATTGTTCCAGCTTTGGCTGTTGGAAGCTTTCAGATGGCTCCTGTGTCCTGTGCTACCCACACCATTGTGTGTGTTTTTTTTTCTGTTGTGAGCACTTCCTTACTTTCTGGCACTACAAGATATTCCACAATCATCTCATACAATTCTTGCTCCAATCCTGGAATCAGCCATATCTCTAACGAGCCTTGGCTCCTTTTATTGTAGAATGGTATTACAAACCAGATCTGGGCACTAGGTATGTATGACCTTTGCTACTGGGATGTCATTGCTTATGGTTCTCTCAGCTGACAGAGGAAGGAAATGCATGTGTATATACTAACCTGGGTATATACAGGTCTATAAATATTTCTGTGTGTAACTATCTGCATCTGTATTAAGCTAAATATTACTAATACTTCATTCCTTTTGATTGCTAAGTTATATTCCGTTGTGTAGCCATACCACATTTTGTTTATTCATTGATCAGTTGATGGACATTTGGATGGTTTCGACTTTTTGAGTATTGTGAATGAGGCTGGTATGAACATTTGTATACAAATTTTTGTGGGGCCTGTGTTCTCAGTTCCCTTCATAGAGATAGTAGAGCAATTCCTGATGGGATGGCTGAGTCAGATGGTAATCCTATGTTTAATATTTTGAGGAACTGCCAAACTGTTTTCTGAAGTGACTAGACCATTAGAGAATCCCACTCAATGAATGAGGGTTCCAATTTTTCCACACTGTTTCCATTACTTGTTACTGTCTGTCTTTATTTTAGCCATCCTGGAGGGTGTGATGATCTCATTGATGTTTCGATTTGCATTTCCCTAATAACTAAATGTTGAACTTTTTTTTTTTAAATGTATGTATTTGCTACCCATTTATGTTTTTGGAAAAGTGTCATGTTTAAATCTTTTGAACATTCAAAAATTTGTTTATCATTGAGTTTTGAGATTTCTGATATATATTCTGATACAAGCTTTTTTATAGATACATGTGTTGCAAATAATTGCTTCCAACCTGTGGCTTGTCTTTTCGTTTTCTTGAAAGTGTCTTTCAGAAAATATTGGAGACAATTCTCATTTTCTTATTGATTTGTATGAACTATATTATATGCTGATTCTTCAGCCATTAATATTAGTAGATCTTTATCTTAAAAAATGTTTCAAATTTTTAAAGCTTTTCTAAAATAGATAGTTTCAAGTATGTACAAATGTAAAGAGAATAGTATAATGAATCACTCCATGAACCTATTACCCGACTTCAACAATTGGTTTATGGCCAATCTCATTTCCTCTCATTCCTCCCACCTCATCTGATAGTTTTGAATAAATGTCAGTAAATAATTTTATTGATAATTATTTCAGCCTGTATTTCTAAAAGACAAGGACTTTTAAAAACGTAACCAATATCATCACAGAAAAATTCTTATTACAAAATGTGAAGTCTATTCAGATATTGTAGTTGCCTCACATATTTTAAATATAATTTGTTTGCATCAGGATCCAAATAAGGTCCGTACTTTATAGTTGGTTGATTTCTCTTAAGCCTCTCAATCTTTGGATTCCCACTCCTTTTTTTTTTCCTTGCCATTTGGTTGAAGAAACTGGACTTTTTTGTCCTGTCGCATCGAGATTAACTGATTTCATCCTTGTAGTGTAGTTTTGTTTCTCAGTTCTCTATATTCCTGTGCATTAGTACTTAGATCTAGAGCAGTGATCTTAACCTTGGCTTCAGGTTATAATCACTTGGAGAGTTTCATAAAAAATTCTATGCAGGCCATATTCCAACTGTTTAAATCAGCTCCCCGGGGTTAGGGCCCAGGCATCAGTATTTTAAGCCCCCAGATGATTCTGCTATGCTGCTGAGGTTGAAAACCACCAAGTGCTCGGTCATATTCAGATTCCCTCCTCCCTTCCTCCCCTCCCCCCTCTTTCTCTTTAAACAAGAATAATTCGTAGGTGGTGGTACAGACTTCTATCCGGAAGCTCATATTTGGCTTTCTCTTTTTGCAATTTAGCAGCCATAGATTTTGAGAAATCCGTTATTTAAGGAAGAGAGGCAAAAGGGTGATTTTCCAATTTTATTATTCTTTCATTTATTAATTGAAACACTTTTATAAAGAGAAACTGTCCCAGCTATACTATTTGGTTACTGTGAGATTGAGTTCCTACGAGAAAGGCAAGATAAATGATTCTGTTTATTTGCCAGTTCTCAGTTCTCCAACGGTAACTGATACTTTTCTTTAAATACTTGACTTGATCGTATTAACACTGTGTTTCGGTCCATTTTTGTTAGCTTTACTGATAGTCAAATTGTCCTATTTTTAGCCAGTGGGAGCTTTTTCAAGTTGGCTCCTAAGTCCTTTTGATAATACACCTGTGGTCTTTAATAATAAGAAAGTAAAGAAGCTAACATATAAATGACACCAATGTGAACTAAAGGTTGTTCTCATTTTTGTAAATACATCCTGCTTATGTAAAAAGCCAAACAAAAAGTCAGGGTGAAAATTTCCATTTACTAGGAGATTTAGTGGAGAACTTGCTGAACGTGCTATATTTTTTGGCTGTACATGTGTGGTTATTAACATAAATGGGAGGATACCATCAGTGCTGGTTTGCACGCTAGTTGTTAGTACCTACTAGGTGTCTTGTAGAGATCCATTCCTGACTATTCTTTTTTAATGGCTGTATAATTGGAAAAGACTAATTTATGTATCTTTTGTTGGGAGTATACATTGTTTCCAGTTTCTCGTTCTTAGAAATACAGCCTCCTTTTTTTAATGACTTTATTGAGGTATAATCCACATATCATACATTTCAGCTATTTAAAGTGTACAATTTAATGGTTTTTAGTATATTCACAGATATGTGCAACTATCACCACAGTTAATTTTAGAATATTTCCATCACCTCAAAAAGAGATCCTGTACTCCTTAAATATCACTTCTGTGTCTGCCCCAACCCCCTCAGCCCTAAGCAACCACTAGTCTTTCTGTCTCTCTAGATATGCCTAATCTGGGCTTTTCATAAAAATACAATCATTGTAGTCTTTGCGCCTGGCTTCTTTCACTTAGCAAAATGTTTTCAGTGCTCCCCCATGTTGTAGTTTGTATCCGTACTTCATTCCTTTTCATTGCTGAATAATACTCCATTGTATGGATATACCAAGTTTTGTTTACCCATTCGTCTGGTGATGGACATTTGGGTTTCTACTTTTCTGACTATTGTGAATAATGCTGCTGTGAACATTCTTGTACAATTTTTGTGCGTGTTTGCATTTCTCTTGGATATATAACTAGTAGTGGAATTGCTGAGTCTCAGGGTAACTCTGTTTAAGGTTTTTAGGAAATGCCAAAATGTTTTCCAGAGTGGCTGTATGATTTTCCGTTCTTACCAGTAGTATATGAGAGTTCCAGTTTTTCCATATGCTTTGTCAACACTTGTTGTATCTGACTTTTTGATTGTAGCCATCCTAGTGGGTGTAAAGTGATATCTCATTGTGGTTTTGGTTTGCTTTTCCCTGATGACTAATGATGCATGTCAAGCATCTATTGGCAATTTGTATATCTTTGGAGAACTGTCTATTCACAGTCTGCCCATTTTTCAGTTTGGTTATTTGTCTTTATTATTGAGTCATAGAGTTCTTTATATATTCTAGATACAAGTCCCTTATCAGATATATGATTTGCATGTTAGCCTTCATGTAAACATGTAAATCCATCAGCTCACCTGTCCTAATTTTTCCTCTACACGTCCATCAGTGTTCATTGTATGTCTGTGAATAACTAGTATCAAAGACTTGTTTATCCAAATGATCAAAGTACTTATGTTGTTTCCACACATGGCTTGGCTTAAGGAAAATTAGTGAGTTTGTTATGGAGTTCTAGAATTTTGATCTTTATACTTGTCTGAGCTGTCTCTAATGAATGGGGCCATTTTCATCTCACTGTAGAGGATATAATATAACAATTGTATGAAAAGTGGGAGGGTAATTGTTAGGGTGGCAGATGATGGTTGTGATTTTGTATTTAGTTGCACTTTTGGTTGTGATTGAATTCTGACAGATATAGTGCTTGAGGGTTTTTTTTTTATTTTAGAAAAATTGCTTAAATTAAAATTTTGTTTTTGTCTATACAATATGAAAAATGAGAGAACATTTTTCTTATGGCATAGTTGAAGTTTTGGGAAACTTAATCTTTGAGAAAATCACATTTTTGTGAGATGTGTGGTGAGATCAACACTGTTCTCTGCAATACAGAAAAGTAGCTTTTTTGTGTACCTGTTCTTCTTGTATTCAGAGATAATGACTTATGTAGTGCCCTTACATGGTGAAATTTTAATGAATGGGGTGAATATGACACCTTTGCCCAAGGATTATTGAAATTGTTGAGAAATACTGATATTAATTTGTAACTTTGACTTTTGAAGTAGATTTCAGAAATCAGCCATCACTTTAATGAGTATGAAGAACTTTTATTTTTATATTTTCTCTACTTATATATAAGCATATACAAGTAGAGAGTATATAATGAATCTGCCTGTACCTGTCAACCAGATAGAACATTTATTGACTTTCTGTCCTTCATGTTGGTCTGAAGGCTTTTGAAGAATCATTTTACATTCAAGATGGTGACCTTCTGAGAAACGCATGGTATAGCATAATAAGCACTGGCTTTAGTCACAGGGCATCTGAATCCTGACTCCCCATGTCCTTAGTGTCTGACTGGCCAAGTGGCCTTTCCTCTGAGATGCTCAGTTTTTGCATCTTGAAAACAGGTTTAATACCTACCTCTGAAGGTTGTCTGGATGATTAAATGGGCTGATGTATGTGAAGAATCGGAAGAGTGTTTGGTGCTTAATTATTGTGTGTGTACATAGAGCTGCCAGAGATGGGCTCTCTGTTGTGTTGGATTTCCAAAGTCTGCAACTGTGTACTAAGGCCTATTCTAGACAGAGCAGTGAGATAAAGAGTCTAATTCCAGCACGGATAGATGAATTGCCTATTAAAGTGCAGTAAACACAAGCCCCTGAGTGTTAAGTCCAAGGTGCTTACAGTGGGGATAGGGGGATGTATTAGTTTCATAAGGCTGCCATAAAAAATCCCATAAACTGGGAGGATTAAAGCAACAGAAACTTATTCTCACAGTTCTGGAGGCTAGCAGTCCGAAATCAAGGTGCTGGCAAGCCTCTCTCCTGGTTGCCAGCGGTCTTTGTGTGCCTTGGTTTGTAGATGCACGCTCCAATCTCTGCCTAGGTAGTCACATTGAGTTCTCCCTCTTGTCTCTGTGCCCAAATTTCCCTCCTCTTATGAGGATACCAGTCATTGGATTAGAGCCAAATTCACAGGTACTAGAGGATGTGAATTTTTAAAGGACACTATTTAACCCAGTACAGGAGGTTAACCAAGACTGGGAGTGATCAGGGATCCATTCTAGAAGGTAATAAGACCTAAAATGTGTTCCTTTTTAAAGGTACTTGCTTAAGGAATTAGTTAGGAGTGGATGAGAGATGAAGTTGGAGAGCAATACTTGATAATAGTCTTAAACCATATTAAATTATATGGATTTTTTTGCCCTAAGAGCCATGGGAAACCTCAAGGGTTTTAAAATCAAAATTCACATAGTACAGTGGGTTTTTGTTGTATTCATGGCTGAACATTAATTTTGAAATAGGCTTTCTATATTTGAGGAAATTACCAGGTTATGAATCCTCCACCCTATTTTAGAAATTGGCGATGAGATTTCCAGCCTGCCCTACTGCTAGGATGGGGAGAGCTGACCACAGCTTGGCTTCTCAGATACGCTTGTATAAGACTTTGATTCGGTTGTGAGCAATAACAGAGACATGGAGTTGCCATGTGGATTGCAAGTCTGGATGTATGTTTTGAAGTGACCAAGTGGAAGCCGCAAGAGCATAGTTTCCAAACCAAGTCTGCGCTGGGAGTGGAGAGCTGTAGACAGGACTCTGGGAATCCCTGCAGTTGGAGATGGAAGCAGCATGGGGAGGAGGAGTTGGAAGATTAGAAAAATTGAGATTTGGTGGTGGGTGGGGGTGGTAGGCATCCTTAAAAACCTCAGGTGAACTTGGTTGGTGAGTAAATAGAGCCTCAAAGAGGTGACCTTGCTGTTTTATAGACTTGATTTCCAAAAAAGTTTGCAGTTAACTAAATTATCTTCCTCTAATTATACTTTTCCTTGACTATTGATGGACATTTGTTACTTATTAAAAGCTTTAAAATTACTTGAGCATGCCTACCTACTTCCAGTCCCTATTCATCAGTAATAGGTACTATCCGAATTAGTACTCACATGTTTTCTAAACAGCTTGAAGTATGATCCTGTTATAATCTGAGGGGTTGGATCTGGGTGAAATGCTTGTGCAATAGAATTTGGGGCCTAACGTCATACTCAAGGGCTTAATTAGCAGTTTTTAAGTATAGCAAACACATGGCTGGGCTCCCAGTGATGCCTTGATCTTACAGACACACTACCAGAGACTGAGAGCAGCGGTGGGTGTGTGGAATTTCTGGTTTGCCTTGTAGACCCTTCTGCCCCACTTGACCAATAAATTTCAGAATGGGGCAATTACAGGGACATTTGTATGGGCACTTTTGTTGCTAGCTTGGCAGTATCATGATGATTTGTCCACCCCACTGTTTAAAAGCAACTAACTTCTTATGAAATACATACCTGTCATAGGAAACAAATAGCAATGGAGGGAGTGATTGCACTCGACTTCTGTCCCCAGTCCGCTTTGCTCTAGCACTCTGACCTGTCTTGGCAGTGTTCAGGTCTGCTGCAGTGGGTTGGTGTCATAAGCATTGTTCCTTCCTCTGCCCAGTCCCCAAATATGTCATGCATTTGGCTCTGTGTTTCATTCAGTTGTTTCTCTGGTGAGAGCCCTAAGAATGGGAGAGGAGAACACTATTTTCTTGGCATTACTTTTTTGTGGTGAGGAAGATGGGCCCTGAGCTAACATCTGTGCCAATCTTCCTCTATTTTGTATGTGGGATGCTGCCACAGCATGGCTTGATGAATGGTGTGTAGGTCCATGCCTGGGATCTGAACCTGCAAACCCCGGGCTGCCGAAGCGGAGCACATGAACTTAACTGCTGTGCACCGGGCTGGCCCCTTCACATTACTGTTTTTGGAAACAATTTAAATACTACTATAATCCAGTTCGATGATGTTCTTATTTTTTTTCCTGATTGTAAAATTACGTGTTCATTGTAGAAAATTTGGAAAGTGACAAGGAAAGAAGAAAGTCTTGCTCCCAGTGGCAATACTGTTATATGACTCATAGCTCAATCTAGTATGATAGGCTTTTTTCAACATGGTTGAGTCATATTGGATGTATAAGTGTATATTCTGTTATGTCTTAAACATTTTTCTTTTCTTTTTCTCTTTTTTTTTTGAGGAAGATTAGCCCTGAGCTCACTGCTGCCAATCCTCTTTTTGCTGAGGAAGGCTGGCCCTGAGCTAACATGCATGCCCATCTTCCTCTACTTTATATGTGGGACGCCTACCACAGCATTGTGTGCCAAGCAGTGCCATGTCCGCACCCAGGATCCGAACCAGGGAACCCCGGGCCACTGAAGCAGAATGTGTGCACTTAACCACTGAGCCACCAGGCCGGCCCCACATTTTTCTTTTTTTAATTGAGCTATAATTCACATACTGTAAAATTCACCCCTTTAAAGTGTACAATTCAGTGTTTTTTGGGTATATTCACAAGGTTAGGAACCATCACCACTATCTAATTCTAGAACATTTTTATTATCCCAAAAAGTAACCCCATAGCTGTTAACAGTCACTGCCCTTCCTCCTCTCCAGCCTCTTCCTAGCCCCTGGCAAACACTAATGTACTTTATGTCTCTATGGATTTGCTTATTCTGGATATTTCATATAAATGGAATTATATAATATGTGGCCTCTTTCACTTCGCATAATGTTTTCAAGGTGCATCCATATTGTAGTATGTACTTCATTCCTTTTTACAGCCAATAATATTCTGTTGTATGAATATACCATATATTGTTTATCCATTCATCAGTTCCAGGTATTTTATTATAAGGTCCCATAGAGCCCAGTAGAATAACCAATATACATCTGAAGGACTGATTTTTATGGGAAATATTCTTATCAATATTGACTTTGGAACCAACTTCTTTCTTCTCCTTCTCTAGCTGTTTTTTATTTTTCATTTTTAAATAAACTTTAAACAGGGGCAGTGGATAAAATGCCAGCGTCTGGGATGGTCTGCTACCACTTTTGGGGGCCACTTATTCTTGGATATTCTTTACCTCGTTTATATGTCACTTTTTAGTCAGTGCCTTTTCCCGGAATTATGTTGGAATCATAATTAGGCTTTTGAACTCTTGTCTTTCCCCTTTCCTCTAGCAGTTTGTAGCTGTTTGGAGTGATGTCCCTGCCTTTCTGCTAAAGGAGTAAGTTAGTGAATGATTGAAACCAGTGTTTGCTTCCGGGATTCCCTAGTCTTCCATTTTTTGGTTTAGGGCTGAGGCCTGGAAGGAGGACCAGGCAGTCATTACTCTCCTGCTCGCTGCTGGGCTCTCCCCAGACTCTGTGGCATGTTGTGGGTAGGCCACAGAAGGCTTAGTGTTCAAGGTTTGGGGGAGGCTGTGACTGAGGGGACTGAAGAAAAGATAGCAGGTTAATAGCTGGCACTGTGGAATCCTGCGTGGCAATTAAGAAGAATAAGCTAGGTTTGTATTTACCAACATGGATTGGCCACCAAGAAGATAGATTGGGGGGCAGGGGAGCAAGATGAGTAATATCATACTTAATTAAGTTACTTAAAATCTGCCTCAGTTTATTCATCTGCAAAATGGGGATAATAGCCATATTCTGAGGAGTAAGTATATGTAAAATGTTTAGAGCAGTAATGAATATGTTTTATGAAAATTCAAAATATTCCTCTTCCATGGGTATATGTGACTATTTAAGCATACAAACATACTTTTTTAAAAACTTGAGCTAAAATTCACATAACTCTAAAATTAACCATTTTAAAATGTGTAATTCAGTAGATTTTACCCTATTGACAAGGTTTTACAACCATCACTACTAATTCCAGAATGTTTTCATCACCCCCAAGAGAATCCTCCTACTTATTAGTAGTCACTCCACATCCCCCTTCCTCCAGCCACCACTAATCTACTGTATGTCTGTACGGATTTACCTATTCTGATAAATGGAATCATACAGTATGTGACCTTTTATGTCTGATTTATTTTACTTAGCATAATGTTTTCAAGGTTCATCTACGCTGTAGCACGTATCAGTACTAAATTCCTTCTTATATCTGAATAATACTCCATTGTATGTACATACCACATTGTGTTTATCCATTGGGTTGCTTCTGCCTTTTGGCGATTGTGGATGCTGCTGCTGTGAGCATAGGTGTACAGATACCCCTTCAAGTCCCTGCTCTCAGTTCTTCTGGGCATATACTCAGGAGTGGAATTGTTGGATCATATGGCCACTCTATTTTTAGTTTTTTTGAGGAACTGCCATATTTTCCGTAGAGGCTGCACTGTTGTACATTCCTCACAGCAATGTATGAGGGTTCCAGTTTTTCCACATCCTTGCCAAGGCTTATTTTCCTTTAAAAAAAAAATAGTTATAGCTGTTCTAGTGGGTGTGGAGTGATATCTCATTGTGGTTTTGATTTGCATTTTCTTAATGACTAATGATGAGCATCTTTTCATGTGACACATGTACTTCTAAAAACATCTGGGCGCAATCCACCAAACTGATGGTGGTTTCTTGTAGGGTTTGGGGGAAGTAACTGGTTTGGAAGCAGGTGGTCAAAAGGGACCCTAACTTTCTATTATTTGGAGTGGTTTTACAAGTATTTCTGTTAGTAAAATATAGAACAAGTTAGTGCTGGTTAATACCCTCATCTGATTGAGGTAGTTAGAAGTACAGTACAGTATGGAGCACCTGGAACGTGGGCTTACTGACCCTGGGAGTGATCAAGTTCTTTGCCTACCAAAGGATGGCTTGGATCTTCCAGCACAGTAAGGATTGAACCGTTGTCAGTCTGTATCATAGTGTTTTATTTTAATTGTATGAGGCAACTTAGTTGACCAAATGGTTAAGAGGGTGGGCCCTGGAATCTGATAGCTGGGATTTGAATCATTTCTCCATCACTGAACTGTCTATCCAAGCTCAAACACTGTTAACTTCCCCAGGCTGTAGCTTACCCATCTGTAAAATGGGTTGTCAACTCATGGGATTGTGTGGATTAAATGAGTTAAAATATGTAAAACATTTGGGACAGTGCTGCTACTAGAATGCCCCCAAATATTGTCACCCATGACTGACTCCTGAAAGAAGGCCAGTGTGAGTGGAGAGGAGGGAGGGGCATGAGAGGACAAGCGGGCACACAGGCCTTCAGGGCACTTGGTAGGGGTTTCGGATGATATCCCAAATACAAAGGGAAGCTCTTAACGTGTACAGTAGGGTGTGAGTTGATTAGCTCAGCTTTAAAAAATCAGTCCAGCTTAGCACTGTCCAAAAGAAAGATAGTGCAGGCCACTTATGCAATATAAAATTTTCTAGTAGTGGGGCCAGCCCTGTGGCCTAGTGGTTAGGTTCTCGCGCTCCGCTGTGGCGGCCCAGGGTTTTGCCGGTTCACATCCTGGGCACAGACATGGCACTGCCCGTCAGGCCATGCTGAGGCGGTCTCCCACATGCTGCAACTAGAAGGACCCACAACTAAAATATACCACTATGTACTGGGGGGGTTTGGGGAGAAAAAGCAGAAAAAAATAAAAAGATTGGCAACAGTTGTTAGCTCAGGTGCTAATCTTTAAAAAAAAATAATTTTCTAGTAGCCACATTAATGTGGGGAAAAAAGGGTGAATATTTAACATTTTACTTAACCTAATATATCTAAAGTATTACAATTTTAACATGTAATTAATATTTTAAAAATTGAGATTTTATGTTTTTTTATGTCTTCAAAATCTGGTGTGTGTTTTACATGTAAGCACATCTCAGATGCCCATCAGCCACATGTAACCAGTGGCTAACACACTGGACAATGCAAGTCTAGCTGTTATGAGAAAAACATTTGGAAGCAAAAATGAATATAGGGAGACAACTTAGGATTGTGTTGCATCAGTCCAGAGAGAGAGATGGTGGAGGCTTGGTCTAGAATGGTGGCTGAAGAGAGCAGCTGGTAGGCCCGGAGCTATATGTAGGAGGTAGCATTATATGGGTGGACTTTTCTTGGTGAGCTTCAGGGGGGCGAAGGTGAAATTATTGAGGTTGAATGCAAGGTTTCTGGCATACATAACTGTAGTTGGTGTTACCATTTATCATAAAAGGCAGTAGCAGAAGAGAAATGGACACAACATTGGGCTTGGGTATAGTTGTCAGATCTCAAGCATTGCCTGAATAATGTCCCTCCTGGCTGGAGCTCCTGGTGCTCATCTTCCTCTCTGACTGTGAGGTCTGTGTGAGTAGATGGTAACTTGAACTGTTCTCTCTTTTGGTGGCTCTGATCTCGTGGTTTTAATTGTCTAAATTATTGTCTCCTTCCCATGTTAGAGGATCTAACTTGTGAAAGTTGAGGGTGCCTAGAGAGTTGTGTGGCTTTGCTCTATGCGTCTCCAACACTGGACCGTCCATGTGGTATGCTGGAGGCTGAGATTCCCTCTGGGTTTTGTCAGTGATGAAGATGATGTGCAACGTGGCTTGTGAGCTTGTCAATGATCTGGTCTGTGTATGCTGGCCTTCTCAAGTTGAAAGTCATTTTCAGAGTTTGGTGAGAGGGAATGGTTTGAATATTATCCAAATAATTATGATGGTAACATTTCAGAGAAACCTACATTAAAGTGGTTATTTCTTTAAATTATTTTGTATTTGAATT